CTATTCAATATTGTATTGGAGGTTCTAGTTAGTGCAATAATGAAAGAAAATGACAAAAATAACGGCAAGAAAGAAGTATAACTATCTGCAGGGAACATAATAGTCTACAAAAACTACTAGATTTATTCATTAAATTCAGCAAGATAAAGGGATACAACAATCAATATACAAAAGTCAATTGTATTTCAATACACTAGCAACAAACAATTGGAAATGAACATTTAAAAACACTATTTACAATATCATTACACAACATTATCATAATATATTTTAGAATAAACTTCTCAAAAATTGTGCAATAACACAATTAAAGAGTGCTCAATCTAAATAAATGGGAGATAAAATGTTCATGGATATGAATAGTAAACATTATTAAGATCATCCTCCCCAAATTGGTATCCAGAATTCAATGCAATTCCGATCAAAATCCTAGGCTTTTGTGTAGAAACTGACTACCTGATTCTAAAACTTATAAAAAAATGCAAATTACTTTGAAGAGCCAAAACAATTTTGTACAAGAACAAAACTGTCCTATTTCAACCTTTGCTTAAAATGCTAAAGTAGCCCTGGCCGGTTTGGCTCAGCGGTTGGAGCGTCGGCCTGCGGTCCAGAGAGACCCGGGTTCGGTTCCCGCTAAGGGCACGTACCTCGGTTGCAGTTTGTCCCCGGCTCTGGTTGGGTCGTGCGGGTGGCAGCCACTCGATGTGTCCCTTTCACATCGATGTTTCTCTCTCTCTTCCTCTCTCTCCCTCCCACTCTATCTGAACAAAAAATGGAAAAAATGTCCTCGGGTGAGGATAAAAAACAAACAAACAAATAAAATGCTAAAGTAATGTACAGATAGACAGTACTGAATGGATAGATCAATAGAAAAGAGCACATTCCTGGCCGTTGGGGCTCAGTGGTTGGAGCATTGCCTGGGGACCTACGGGTCTCAGGTTCGATTTCCGGTCCAGAGCCTGTGCCTAGGTTGCAGGTAGGGATCCCTGGCCCCTTTTGGGGTTGTGCTGGAGGCAACCAATCGATGTGCCCTCACATCCATGTTTCTCTCTCCACTCTATCTAAAAAAAATAATAATAAAATCAATGGAAAAATAGCCCTGAGTGAAGATTAACAACAAAAAGAATGGAGTACAAAAATAGAACCACACATATTTGTTCAACTGACTTTTCACAAAAATGCCAAAGTAATATAACGGGAAAGAACTCTTTTCAATAAATGATGTTTTAACATATGGTTAAAAACACAAACCCCTTGCCTGCTGGTGTGGCTCAGTGGTTGAGCATCGACCTATGCACCAAGAGGTTGCTGGTTAGATTCCCAGTCAGGGCACATGCCCACATTGTGGGCCCAACCCTCAGTTGGGGACATGCAGAAGGCAGCCAATCAGTGTTCTCTCTCATCGATATTTCTCTCTCTCTCCCTCTCCCTTCCTCTCTCTAAAAATCAATAAAGAAAAAAAATTAACAGGAATGCTAAAGGAGTAGGAGAAAAATACTTGTAATACATGTGCCTAACAGGGCCAACATGCAGAATATAAAGATTTTTACTTTTCAATAAGAAGACAAACTACCTAATTTTTTAAATCTGCAAAAGACTTAAACTTAAATTTTAAAGAATAACACCTAAATTGGCAAGGATGTGAACCAACTGGAACTCTCATACTGCTGAGGGCAATGCAAAATGGTACAATCAGGGTAAACATACATTTATTATGCAAACAAGAAATTCCAATTGTAAGTATTTGCCAAGAAAATTAAAACATATCTACATAAACACCTATCTACAAATATTTATGAAAATTTTATTCATAGTAGCCCAAAACTGAAAAAAATAGTCGTTTCCATCAACAGGTGTATACTGTATATAGAACTATTGTGTATAAAACTCTTATACAATATAAATAAATCTTAAATACTATTAATCCTTTCTAATATTTTAATTTTCTCCAAGAACCAAAAGAAATCAACCCCCTGAATTGAGACTACATATCTTACAGACTGCCAGTTAGTAAGTCTAAGAAAACTGATGGATTCTTGTATTTCACACTCCTTGGACAAATAATGTGACCTCTTTCAAACATTTATGAGCATTTGTAAATTATAACACAATAGCTTTATTTCATTTTTAAAAATTAAAGCATTATGCTTTAATTTTTAAAAATGTGTTAGGAAGAATTTATTTTCTATAAATTTCATTTAGGACAACATAGGGAGCACGGAAAAGTTTAATAGAAAAGGAAAGTAGGTCTGATACTGTTGAGAATTACTATTCTACATCTGAATTTTGGTCTTAATTTTCTACAGAATCCTATTATGATGAACTGTATTTTGAACTAAGGAAACACTAGGGTTTCATATTATACCCTAGAATTCCAAAACTATGCCAAATTGGGCTCTCTGGCGAGAGGAGCCTAGAAATCCAAATTTTAACAAGTATACCAAGTGATTCCAGTACAGCTAAAATTTGAAAACCCCTATCTAAATCTAAAAGTTAAGACTATAACTGGAACATGTTATGTGTCCTGTGTGGGTGTTATTTTTTTCTTAATTACCTGTCAATATATAATACTAGAAAATTTTTACACAAAATCCAGACTTCAGACTTCCCATAAAAGAAAGGAAAAAAAAAAAAAAGGTCTTTCAACACTGGCCCTGCATTCTCACATGACAATCTGCTGGAGTAAAATTTGCCACCTCCCACTCTTCACCATTCTCTATTATTTTAACACCATGCTTCTAGTTCTCCATGTCAATTACCTGCTTAGCTCCTGAAGGTATGGTAGTTTGACCCATGATGCTGGTACCCATAAGTTCATTAAGAGAATGAAAAAAATATCAAATAAACCCATTTAGTTCTAAAATGCGCTGTCTAAACTTTTGCTTCAGCTAGTATTAAAATAAGTTTGCAAGAGAGAGAGAGAAAAAGAAAACATTCAAGTCAATAAGATTCAGATAATATTTTTAATTTACTGAAGATAACCCTAACTTCTTTTTTTAGGGCTCTACACCTCTAACAGTATCATTTGTTAAAGCCTTTTCTTTCTTAGTATAAAAACAAAACCATTTATCTTCCCATTTGAATGCTTTCCTTGAACTCTTGCATACAATACAAATACCAAGATAAAAAATACTTGGGAGACTGGAATTACATAGAGCATTTTGAGAAATATGAAATTACAGACTTGTCTCAGAATTGAGACTCAGCACTTTTATTATTCATGTTCTCATTCTAGTCTGAATGTCATGGCCAGGCACGCAATACATTTTAATCCTACAACTATGCAAATTTTGGATCCTAATTGGCTACTGGCCTGTTTAAACATTTAAAAAATAAATAAAAGAAACCTTAGTTTCACCTGTACTAACTTTCCAACAGGTGGGCCACATCTGAGTAAACTAATGTGAAGAATCTAAGATTTTCACCCTACTTACAAGCTAACACATACCATAGATGCTAGTAGAAGACAGGAGACTGACTGAGGGGTCACAGGCAAAGGGTAGTTTATTACTTACAATAATTACATAAGCCAAAGCACCAACGTTTTTGCACCGGTTCCCAGAGTCCCAGTTCCCACCAAGCAAAGGGAAGAGGGCCAGCTGATACCTACACAGGCAATGGGTTGTGTTACATGAGAAGAACCTATGCTTAGGGAACCCTGATCTTTATGATGAGCAGTAAGCATGCCTGCCTCCTGCTTCAGGAGGAGACATTTATCTTTATTATACTGAATCCTATGCACGCCGCCTTTGCTCTGATGAAAGACACTATCTTCTAAGGCTGTTCCTTATACAAACATCCTTTAAAAATAGAAACAATGGGCAGTCAGTCTGTGGGCAGGGCCTGCAGAAACAGAGACCCATGGAAAATTGTCTCCCTCAACCAGATACTGTTCCAAACATACAATTAATTAAATGAGGAGTCTAACACTACAATCTATTTAAAACATTAACTTCTAACACCGCTTGAGGTAACTCAATTACTTAATTAGCATTTCATCTCAAAATTAAATCAATTGGTTCCCCTAAAATGGAAGTAAATATTAAAAATGATTTCCCTGTTTTCAGTCACTTTGTGTTTTTAAAAGGAGGTGCTCAAATAGTTGCAATATTAAAATTTCAAAACCTCAAGTATCCTACTACTAGAAACAAATAATTACTGTGCTTACTTTAAGGAAAAATGGTTCAAACCTGTTAGCGTTAGCAATGGGAACTACCTGTCAAAAGTCTCATTATACGTAACAAACACCACTAAGAGAACAGAAACTTCAACGTTTACAGCTGTTGTCTACAAAATACAAGAAAAATCCTGCACCCCAAATCACTTTGTTCTATTTCTCTTTCCCCTTTGCCGTCTCAAAATAAAAATCTTCGAAAGATAAAGACAAGACACCGTCTTAGTTTCTTTGTCCACAGCGGAGAGAAGAGAATTGGGTTCTCACCGAGGTCGAGAACCCGAAACATGCAAGACAGAACACAGAGGGCATCCGATCTGGTATCAATCATCAAAGAAAGTCACCACCACTCCATCTCCATCCCCCCCCTCCAGCACACGCGCGCGCGCGCGCACACACACACACACACACAAACGTGGGTCTAGACGAGATGATTGGGATCACTTGCACCTGGACAAAGCTTTGGGGGGGCAGAGGGTAGCCGTTAACTAGATGCACTTGGCAAAGCACCCAAGACCCAGACGACAGACTCCGACAGAGATTTTTCAAAAGTGCGGGGCGCACGGGCCACCGAAGCCCGGCGGAGACTGCCGAGGGGCAGGAGCAGCGGCGGCGGCGCGGCCAAGTCCACAGCGCCCGTGGAAGTTGCTCGCGGGTCGCGCGGGCCCTCCATGTCACTGCCGCCAGCACGGACCCTCCTCCTCGCCCCTCCCCCGCCGCGCACCCCGGGCGGCGGCGGCGACATGACAGCGGGTCGCGCCGCGCAGGGCCGCCCTCCGCCCCGCGCCCGCCGCCCGCCGCCCGCCGCCCCGCGCCCGCCTCTCACCTTGGGTCGCGAACGGCGACGAGCCGCTGACCGGCGAGCCGGGGCCGGGCAGCGGCGGCGGGGTCTCGGCCGAGCCCAGCATGGGCGCCGGCAGCATGAGGTAGCGCTGCGGCGCGGGCAGGCAGCGCTGGCAGAAGGAGTGCAGGCAGGGCAGCAGCTTGGGCGCCCGGCTCTGGATGTTCTGGTGGCACACGGCGCAAGTGTCCAACAGGTTGAGCCGGGCCGCCTCTCCCCCGCGCTCCGAGTCTGGGCCCTGCCGACTCTCGGCCTCGTTCTCCCCGCTCGGCGCTGCCGAGGGTCCCCCGGCGGCCGCCGCCGAAACCGCCGCCGCCGCCGTCGCCGCCTTCTCCACAGCCACCTCCATTGTCCTGCCCCCGCCGCCGCCGCCGGGGAAGGGGGAGTGCGGTCTCCGTCCGCCGCCGCCGCCCCCGACGACCTCCTCCTCCTCCTCACAGGCCGCTCGGGTGACCCGCGGGAGAAGGAGGGAGGGAGGGCGGGCGGGCGGAGGAAGCCTCCTCGGGCACCGGGGATCCGCCTCCCGGGTGGCGCGGCCGGAAAAAGGGGTTCTGTCAGCGGGGACCGCTCCTCGCACCGGAGAGGTTGCCCTCCGTCCCCTTCGCCAATCGCCGCGGCGCTCGTCGAATCCGCCCAGCCCGTCCGAGCCTCCCGGCTTTTCCCTGGGGCCCGAGCCCACCTCGGTCCCCTCCCCCGCCCCCGCCCTCGCCCTCTCTCCCAGCAACTGAGACAACGGCTGGGAGCGCGCCGCCCAATAGCCGCCGCGCCTGGCCAGAGGGCGGGGCCTGCCGAAGCCCGCGAGGCTCCGACGGCCGCAGCGGGAGGTTGGCAAGTGGGAGGGCGCTTGCTCAGCCCCGCCCCTCAGAACCCCGGGAACCGCGGTCTCTGATTGGGCCATTGTGTGCGTGTAGCTCCTCTGAAAAAATGAAGGGTTTATTCGTTAACCACCAGCCATCTAATTCGATCCGCCTGTGTTGGCTCCTCCTCTAGGGCGGAGCTTCACTGTGTCTACGCGTTAATTCACTGCTTTCAAAACTCTGGTTTTACTACTAGAGACCGGGTCCTGTAGGAGGAATACAGTGCGAGGGTCAAAGGATGACAAAGCGGAGATAGTTAAGAGTGAATAAGGAAAGAATTTTAAAAGTAGAAAATGTGGGAAAAAGATGTGGAGGCAGGATGGATTTTGCCACCTGAATGTACTCATCTCTATGATGAATGATGGAGCATGAAGAATAAGGGGAGGGTTCTCTTGCAAGTGGGAAATTTTTGAAGAATTTACCAATGAAAAAAATTTTTTAATTCAATGATTTGTTTTTTAAGTAAGTAAAATAGTTTTCTTTCTTTCTTTTATTTTTTTGTTACAGATGTTTCTCCTTTTACCCCCATTGACAACCTCCTCCCAATCCCGCCCCCAGCATTGTTGTCTATGTCCATGGTTATGCATACATGTATATAAGTTCTGTGGTTTATTTCCCGACCCCTCTTCTGAGGTTTGTCAGTCTGTACCCTACTTCTATGTCTCTGGGTCTGTTTTGTTCATCAGCTTGTTTTGTTCATTATAGTCCACAAATAAATGAGATCGTGTGATATTTGTCTTTCTCTGATTGGCTTGTTTTGCTTAGCATAATTCTCTCCAGGTCCCTCCATGTTGTCTCAAAGGATAAGAGATCTTTCTTTCTTACAGCTGCATAGTACTCCATTGTGTATATGTGCCACAGCTTTTCTATCCACTCATCTACTGATGGATACTCGGGCAGTTTCCAGATCTTAGCAATAGTAAATAGTGCTGCTACGAACATGGGGGTACATATATTCTTTCTGATTGGTGTTTCAGGCTTCTTAGGGTATATTCCTAGAAGTGAGATCACTGGGTCAAATGGCAGTTCCATTTTTAACTTTTTTTTTTTTATCCTCACCCGAGGACATTTTTTTTTTCCATTTTTTGCACAGATAGAGTGGGAGGGAGAGAGAGGAAGAGAGAGAGAGAGAGAGAAACATCGACGTGAAAGGGACACATCGAGTGGCTGCCACCCACACAACCAACCAGGGCCGGGGACAAACTGCAACCGAGGTACATGCCCTTAGCGGGAACCGAACCCAGGTCTCTCCGGACCACAGGCCGATGCTCTAACTGCTGAGCCAAACCGGCCAGGGCCCATTTTTAACTTTTTGAAGAAACACCATATTGTTTTCCATAGTGGCTGCACCAATCTGCGTTCCCACCAGCAGTGTACTAGAGTCCCCTTTTCTCCACACCCTCACCAACACTTGTTGTTTGATGATTTGTTGATGGCGGCCATTCTGACAGGTGTGAGGTGATACCTCATAGTTGTTGGGGTTTTTTAAATTTTTTTTTCTTTATTAATTTTTAGAGAGAGGAAGGGAGAGGGAGAGAGAGAAAAACATCAATGAGAGAGAACAGCGATTAGCCACCTCCTGCATGCCCCCACTGCGGATCGGGCCCACAACCTGGGCATGTGCCCTGACTGGAAATCGAACTGGTGACCTCTTGGTGCATGGGTCTATGCTCAACCATTGAGCCACACCAGCCGGGCCTCATAGTTGTTTCAATTTGCATTTCTCTGATGATTAGTGATGTTGAGCATTTTTTCATATCTCTTGGAAAAATGGCTAATTTTCCAAGGAATTAAGATATAGATTGTTGTTGCCCTGACTGGTTTGGTTCAGCAGTTAGAGCGTTGGCCTGCAGTCCAGAGAGACCCGGGTTTGATTCCCGCTAAGGGCAGTACCTCGGTTGCAGTTTGTCCCCGGCCCTGGCTGGGTTGTGCGGGTGGCAACTACTCAATTTGTCCCTTTCACGTCGATGTTTCTCTCTCTCTCTCTCCCTCCCATTCTACCTGAACAAAAAATGGAAAAATGTCCTCGGGTGAGGATAAAAATAAACAAATAAGAATAAAAAAAGATATAGATTATTTGCAAATATCGTTGTTGCATAAATATGGCATCATTTACAGGAAAGAAAAATAAATATTAACACTTATATCCAAATAATTCAAAAATTCAATATTCTTTTTCATACCCTTCCCTCTCCTGGTACACACACACTTATAACAGACGTTACACATATTTTCACTGAAAAAAATGCAAAATTTTTTAGCTTAAAAGTAGAACCTGGGTGAGGGGCAAAAAGATTTGTATATACACAAGACTATTAAAAAACATTGTATGGAAGTGCCATTTTTAAGTACAAATGAAGTAGAGCTGGACCTTTGAGAAGAGTAGAGTGGAGTCAGAAAAGGCTTTGTTAAAATTGGAATGATTTTGGAAGAAGAAATGGTAATAGGGAGGGCAAACTCAAGGCATCCCAGCATGCCCTCAAGACCTTACTTTCCCAAAAGATTCCTCTCCGACCAGCCTCTTTTACAAACAAGTCATTAAATCCAATCTTCGTGAAGTTCTTAATGACATACAAGGACTGTTTATTTTGTATGGTAATAGTTGGTTAAATCCTAGTTTAAGTTAAGAATCACTGGCAAACTTGTTTAAAAGCTGGTTCTTTGCCCTGGCTGGGTGGGTCAGTTGGTTGGAGTGTCCTCCCATACACCAAAAGGTTTCGGGTTTGATTCCCAGTCAGGGTACATACCTAGATTGTGGGTTTGATCCCTGGGTGCATATGGGAAGCAACCAATTGATGTTTTTTTCACATCAATGTTTCTCTCTTCCTTCCTCTCGCTCTAAAAATCAATAAGAACATATCATATTTTTTAAGGATTAAAAAATAATAAATAAATAAATAATGAAAGCTGTTTCTTTGGGCCCATCCCCATATTTACTTCTAGCAGCAAGCAATATCTCATGATTGTAATCTGAGTGCTCTATAGAGAAACAGACACCTAGCCCAAATTTAACTGTCCTTCCATGATTTCATCCCTATACACCTCTCAAGCTAAAGCTCCCACTATTTCCATGCTTTAATTTTAATGTCTCCCTTTCTGTACATACTTTCCCCTTTGTTTTGGGACGCCCTTACTTCAAAATTCAGACTTACACGTTGTCCCCTAAACCACGCAAAGTTAATCACTTCTTCCCTAGTACTCATTGTTCAAATAGAGATGACTTCTGAGCTTTTTTAAATCCAGAAAAATGAATTTAGGTTTTTTACTCGTGATTTTTAAAATCTAGGTATTATTGTCCTCCCAAGTGTGTTGCAAAAATATTTCCGAGAGCCACACTACCAATAGATCATTCTTCCTTAATTGCAGCTCTCACTCTTATCCCCTCACTTGTTCTGTAATATCTATGGCTCCCTACTGCATCCAAGGTTTTCCACAATTTCATGCCTATCTGATCCTCCTGCCTGATTATTACTACTTTTCCGTACCCATATTAAGTTTCAGCCTAATTGGATGGCTTGCTGTTTTCTAAACTGTACCACCATCACCTCTACCATCATCTCTGAAAGTGAAGGTAAGAGTTGTCTGTGCTAGGAAGAGATTAACCAAAGAACATATATGCATATATGCATAGCCCATGGACACAGACAATAATATGGTGAAGGCCTTGGGTGGAGCAGGGGCTGGGTTGAGGGGGGCAAAGGGAAGGAAAATGGGGGACATCTGTCAACAAGAAAATAAAAAAAAGTTATCTGTGCTGGAAGAGATTGAAGTCTGCAAGGAGAGCAAGAGCATTAGATGGTAGTGAGAATTCCTCATGCCCACCCTTCAAAAGGCAGTGATGGGTAGAAATTCTAGAATTTTCAGGGAAATTTAACAAGATCATCTTTGGGTAGACCTCTCAGAGGTTATGATACTCGTCTAGGCAAGGAGAGTTTGAGATAACTGCTTTACCGTGACACGGGTTAGTAAGAAACTAGGAAAATTCCCTGGCTAGTGGACTGAGGAAACAGACAAATGGTTGAACAAACAGACAGAATGGCTGAGCAATTAACAGCCAGCTAAGAAATCAGAGACCCTATCCTCCCTAAATGAAGATGCTTAAGAGCAGATGGTTTAAATTACATAGTCAGGGAGGCAGATAACAAAAACCAGTTAAATCCAGACTAATCAAAAATGGAGGAAAAATTGACCAGAGATCGACCCCAGAACTCATTATACCATCATTATAATGAAAATTGACACCACAAATAGAAGCCCCCTCCCCCCATGGGGACTGATGCCATGACACTTCAGAACAGACCATATTAGGAACAAGACACCCCCCCCCCCCGCCCCCCGCAACCAGAAGGTAGACTCAGAATTTGGCACCACAAAGGTTGGAGACAACCCTTCCTTGAAAACATAAAATCCCAAGACATCGTGTGTAACTCACTCTTGAGTTGGCCAATGTCCACCTGGATGCATACTTTTTCGTTCTTTCGCAGCAGCACCTGCATCCTGACCTCTTTCTTTTTCTCTACCAGGATAAAACTTGCTTTGTTCTCACTCCTACATACTCATCCTTAACATTTTTTCTTGACACGAATCTGGAGGTCGTCTGACACAAGAAAGGTCTCCATGTGCAAGGACAGGGCCAGTCCACTGCACAGAAGCAGTCAGGTGACAACCCAATCTCCTGTACCTTCCAAAAGTAGGGAACCTTTTTCCGCCAAGGGCCATCATTCTTGGGCCATACAAGAAAGTTATCAACGTAAAAATTAGCCTGCTATATTTGGTCAGGCGTGTGATGTTACTGGGT